GGGTTTGTCGACATAGCTAAGTTTTTCCTGCTCTTTTTCCGCCTAGCTAGCTCCGATCTGTCAAGTTCTCCCTCACTCCCACTCTCTCCTCCTTTCTTCTTCATATTCTTCTTCTCCCACCGAACGATTAAACAGCAATGGCGAAGAAGAAGAAAGTGTGAGAATTTCAACATTGTTACGGCTTCTCAACTCTGAACTGAATCCACCTCAGCCATGAACAGAGCTCTGCAAGATCAACTAAAAAATTTCACTTTCTGCAATCAATTTCTGATCTTGATAACTTCAATTTTGGATTCGGGAGTGATTCGAGAAAAAACGGCTACTTCTGATTCGGGAATTTGATGAATTTACATTAGATTTGCTTGTTTCATGTGCTGAATAGAGCGCCATGGATTCTCGGGTTTTATCTGTAATAAACTCGTTGGGGCGAGGTAATATGATAGGGATATGTATGTAATTTCAAGATTTTTGAGTGCAAAAATAAAATTATTACGACTTTTCCAATTTGCTTAAAGTATCTATTTATTGTCACTAATGATTTAGTCTTATTTTACAAATGCGTCCTCAATAATTAAAAATTTTATTTTTTAGATTAACTCGTGTAAAGCGTGAGATGTGAGAGTTTGGGCCCGGTGGGTGGGCCTGATATCTGCAATGATTTAGTCCGCACTAATTTTGATGCAAATTATAACCATTTGCGTATATCTAACATTTAAACTTTCATATTTGTAATTTTGATGCAAATTATAAGATTAACAAGCCGGGTCATTTGCGTATATCTAACATTTAAACTTTCATATTTACATGTGTATAAGTGGGACGGGACTCTCATTGAAGTGACTCGCTATAGTGGTCTTCCAATCTGGCTCGTCGATGTGTCGGGCTCCTTACACTAGCTGTCAAGCTGATCTGTAGGATTGACTTGGCGAACCAACGGCTAATTTGGTTTGTGTACTCCTTCTAATCTGCAGGATCTTTCATCAAGACATTGCGAACAAAATTTTTACAATACAACTTCGATTTTTTAGGTCATATGACGATCTCGCTATGTATATTTTTTCATGGTCAATTAGACTCGTGTCTTGCATGTCTGGTTGGTTTGTCGCCTCAGCGGAATCTCCCAAACTTGTAAGGTCTTGAGCGGATTTTGTCGCAGCCCATATAGGGTATCCGACCAGACTCCCTGTCGGGATGATTCACGTCTCACTTTCGTCGAGGGAGCCATCTTCGTAGCTTGAACCTATCCTAGGTTCGGAGACACGGCTTCATGCTCGGCCTTAAATTGTCGGTTGATTGCTTACCTCGAAAGGAGACTCATTTCTCTTGATTTCTTTTTGAGATTCGTGCTGGTATTTTTGGTATATACATTATCATCGTAATAAAATATAAAATATTTATATGTAATCAATAATGCAATTCTTATAGAAAAACTAAAATTCACATAGAATATAAATTTATCAAATTATTTATTTATTGCAAAATTTGTATATTTAAGTATTAAAATATTAAAATAAACTATTATTATTCAGATGTTTATATATAATTTATTTATACAACCGTGAATGCCTTCCTTCTTACGTTACAATTACATTGATTTTATAAATATTAAAAAACATCAAATGCTAAAAATAACTATATATATATATATATATATATATATATATATAC